GAAACTTTTTAATAATCCAGGCCTACAACAGATTGGGGTTCTGGTCGAACTTGCAATAATCATATCCATAATTTGGGTCAGACATTTGTACTTGTAGACCTTACTTGATTTATGGTATGGAGGAATGTGTTAAAGAAGCTCAAAATGGAGGCTCTGGTGTTATAGTCTATTGTATGTATTTATTAACAGTTACTCAGTAAAAATGTTTAATCAAACATTGGGGTATTAATTAATTAATCATTTTGTAGTCCGTAAAGAGGGAAGAGCTTTAGGCGAAGTTACTAAATACCTTGTTTATAATGCTCGTAAACGTGCTACTGGTGGTGACACGGCAGACAATTATTTTTTACGAACAGGTGCTAATCTTTGAAAATTTTATTTAAAAAAGAAAATCTTTATTAAAAATGATTAACTTTATAAATCTTGAAAACCCCCCATTATTATTGTTATTACTATTATTACCAACAGAAAACATCGCCGGTGTTAAAGATATGCGATTTCAGGCATTGATGCCTGATGTTTTACATTGGCTTGGTATTAAAAAAATCGATAGGATGATGTCAATGTCGAATATGAAACACGAAGCTATTGTGGATTCTGGAATTTCGATACTTGAACGAGTACCAATTCCAGATGAATTGATTCCTCCTGATTCACGGTATTCATATACTTATTTATTTGTTTACACGATTTCACTTTTTTATTATTAAATTTACTGTTATGCGGAAAGATCATCTCAAAGTTTTGATTAATATATATCCCACTCTTTTTCAATAAATTCTAGTGTTGAAATTGATGCTAAAATTGCTGATGGATATTTTAGTGCTGGAAAAGTTATCACCAAAGAGGCGTTGACACAAGTTAAAGGAAGAGGATGGGACGATATTCAACATTAATGAGAATGTATTTATTTCAAATATTAATATATAAACAAATGACCTCTTTTTTTCTTTATTTTTATTATATGTGATAACAATAATTATGTGATTTTAATATATATATATATATTATTTGCAAATATATCATAATTAATTATATATTGATATTGAATTATACAAAGGTCGAGTTTATCAAACACAAATCTGGCCCGTCACATAATTTCTATCATGATCGGCCAGCTTTATAAAATGTCTGCCCAAATTATGGATATGATTATTGCAAGTTCGACCAGAACCCCAATCTGTTGTAGGCCTGGATTATTAAAAAGTTTCCCTAAACACATGTTGTATGTCAAATTCAAGGATCGAGACCTGGGTCATTCTTATATTTGCCAACCTAATAAGCAAATAAAGAAACAATCGTAAGACTCTTTTTACCTTTTTTGTTTCATTTAAATGATTATCTTTGTATGGCCTCCTAACTTGTAAAATTTTACGTTTCTATTATACTATTACTATATAATAATAATGGTATGCGTACTCTGTACTAACTATAGTGCAAGACATCTAGTTCCGCAACTTTTTATTGGCCTTGTAGATCCTTTAGTACGTCCAAAAATGGAAGTGTAACATCAAAAAACAAATCGTAGCTTTTGAAGCTAAGACCTTCTACGATTTTCATTTTGTTTGATATGTCATTTTACTGTTGTGCGTGAAAATGAAATCTATGTGAATTGAAAATTCACATACTTGAAATTCAAATTAGCCGATCAGAATTTCATATCCAAACACCCCGCCCCAAAATTTTAATTATAAATTTCGATTTACACGCGATTTTTATATAATATTAATATTAACGGTCACTGGATATGTCACACCTAATGCATATTACTAATAACTTCGATAATAAATAATTAATAAAACAAGCCACAAAAAAGTCAAAAAAAAGTAATTTATAATAATAAAATATTTTCTTTATCAATATTTTAATATATATATCCACTAAAAAATTTTGCTTTATATATGTTACTAAGCAATTTTCTTCAAAATGTCAACTTGAGTTTAAAATAAAAGAACCTTTAAAATTAGCTGTGAATTTTTGTTATTTATGATATCAAAACTTAGAACATACTATCTAAAAAATGTTTGTTACAAAAAAAATGATAATAAATTACATAGTGATGGTCATCTATAAAATCCCACACAAGCTTGGTTCACAAAAAAATGTATTCAATACAAAATAAATAAATCTATTTATATAGATATATAATCCATTGTTTCCATACATGTGTGTATATTTGTTATTGTTATTCATTCTAAGTATTATTAAATAATTATGGCTTTGTATTTGTCAGTTTTGTAATAAGTGAATATAATACATTAAATTTAAGCATTTCCGATTCTTTTAATTGATAAGTTTGTGAAGATTTTATTGATTTATATAGTAGTACATAAAAACCCAACATGTTATGAAAATCATATATATTGCAAAAATATTATTTATCATGTATTTATTATATATTAATATCTACATACAAGCAAAGTAATGATGTTTTATCCATCATTGCGTTTTACACTCTCCAGTATATTTTTTGTACTCATCTTTATACTCACATTCATTATTATTTTTACCTTTTTTTTGTGATTTTATTTGTTGCAATAATTTTTTTTGCTGTGATTGTTTTTTTTGTTGTGTGATTGTGTTTGTGGTAATATTTTTTGAATGCCGACCAGTTGTATCCCAGACAACAGACCTCTCAATGTCTTGTTTGAAAATATCATTTGATCTGTTTATACCAATATCATAACTATTGTATAATTTTTGAAACCCTTGATTTGAACATTCTATGGCACCTTTGAAAAGTTCAGGAACCTCAGGAGTCAATATTGATTTATTGGAATGTTCAAAAGCTTTTTCCAAATCTGTGATTAATTTCCATAGTGCATCCTTTTGGGATTTTATGTTACATTTAGTAGGAGTTTTAATTTTATCACCAACAAATTCACTAAGTAAGAGATCTAAATGATCACATTCCGCTTGGATAGATTTGATTTGCAAGTCTAAATTGTCTGTAGAGTAAATTGCTGAACCAATATTTTGTTTTATATACATAACACCAAATCGCTCAAGTGCTTCGTCGAAGGCGAAATAATGACCTGGCGAAGTTAGATTAACAGAAGAAACATATTGAAGAATGCCTTGCAAATTAGAATCCTTTTGAACATTGTATATGTATTGTGTAACAGATTGTGAATAATTGCTTTTACCAGCAATCGGAAAAAGTGGTGCAAATGCACAAAGATTTTGGAACTGAAGATCATGATTTCCATAACGGATTCCTGTTTTATGACCAAGCCAAAGGCCCGCCCACAAAAAAAACAAATACCATATTTTCGGAAGATAATAGTCACAATCTAAAATATCCTTCATTGATATGTTTTTTTTTCTGGCATATAAATGGAGTGAAACGCCTACACCAATCCAAATATGTTCAATTACTCGGCAGGTAGCTGAATAATCAACTACTTTCTCCAATTTTTCCAAATAGCTAACTCCTAAATTTGCAGCCAAATTATAGATGCCGTATCCAGAAAATATTGTTAGAAGAGTACCACACATTGCCTTTGATGTGTGCCAAGCACCTAATAAGAGGCTAATTTCTGTCTCTGATTCATTTAACTTATTAAGCTTCCTAAAGATGGACTCATCACTTGCAAGATCTAAATGGCCAGTACTATCTAAACCAATGTCATCATAATACATTCTTGCTGCCGCATGTATATTCATGATCCTCACCAGGTTTCAAAATAATGACATTGGGTGGTTTGATGAGATACCCTATTTCTACATTTTTCCATAGTTCTTCTTGAACTTGTGCAACATCAAAATCTCTTCCATATAAATTCCATAGTAAGGAAAAGGTATTCTCGAAATGTTCTATCTCTTTTTCAGTAAAGGTTGACATACCAACGTGAAAAGAATGTCCTAAAACAAGATCAGAATTTGAACTTATTGTTGACAAAGGATGAGGTAATTTGAATTGAAAAACCATCTGCAATGTAGAATGGGTTGTACGTCTGGTAACATCAAATATATTATTATAACCAAATGTTTTTTCTTGAAAATCTATGTTATCTATCACACACAAATTCCATATATTCTCATTATTTCTAATTAATTTTTCAGAAATATCATGTTCATTTGCTCTTTTCATTGCTAATTTCCTTTCATGTCTTTGGGTATGTGAGATTACATTGGCCATACAAAGTATTGCATAGAGTGATTCTTGGAGTTTTTTTCTCCTACATAAAGAACTCATCACATAATTAAGCCAAAAGTTAACACCAGGAAAAGCAACTGAATGCAAACAGATATTAAAAAGATGGATATTTTTTTTGGACGCATTGTTTCGAAAGGGATTTCATCCAATAATCTTTGTCTACGTTTTTTTTGAACTATCTCCCATTTTTTTCGTTGGAGTAGAATTAGAAGTCCATTAAAAAATTCACGTATGTATATAGGAAATCCATTACAATATTGATCTAGATTTTGTGGGTCCTCTAATTCTTTTTTTTTTCATGTATTTCAGGTCTTGAATGCCAAATAACAGTTCCCAATGATTCCCCAAGTTCTTTGGGGTTGTTTTTTATTAGTGTTAAATTTGATGAAATAGATCCTAACGATATTAGTTCGGGAAGTGGTGGGACTTTTGTTCTTGGAACTCTTGAAGAAACTGTTAAACTTGCTAGACGTGGTGTTTCTATAGTAAGAGCAGTTCCTTTTGTTGGTAGTGCAGCTGCAGGTTTTATTGAACTAGCACTTCACGGTGTTGAATTCTCGATCGATCGTCTAAAAGATTTAATGGTTGAAGCATCATTTAGTGGGATACATGCCGACATTGGAGATCTAAAAGAAGGACAAGCCAAACTAAATGCCAAAGTAGATGCTCAAGGTAAAAGATTGACAAAAAAGATGACAAAAAAGATGACAAAAAAGATGACAAAAAAGATGACAAAAAAGATGACACAATATATTGGTTTATGTGTCCCAATTTTTTGAGATTTACTCTACTAAGTCTGAGAGCAGGTTTGAATATTAAGAAGTTTGGAGGATTTGAATTTGGTGAATCTAATAAGTTTTCACAAAATTGTGATAACAACTTAACAGCCTCTTCAAACCTAATGTTATCATATTCTAAATAGATCATTTATTCAATACATATATGTTTATGTATTTAATACAAAATTAATAAAAAATCTATGTGTATATTGATATATGGGGCATGCTGCAACAAAACCAGACAAAGTGAACATTGGTATTACTAAGAATTTCAGGGATCAAAATTTAGTCATTTGTAATGTGATTATAATTATCAGTTTTATAATATCCATTTGTGATATATAGAATTATCCCTATATAAAAATAGTTAATATGAAACTCATTTATATCAGGTCTACTATGGAACCCAAGAATTATAGCACCATTAGAAGTATTTTGAAGAAAGAACAAGGTGAAAAAATTGCACCTTACATTTTCAAAATAAATGATACTCAGACACTGGAAGCTTATCTAAGAAAAGAAAGGATTACTTATGAAATTTACCAAGAAGAAAGAAAAATAATAAATGTTGGAAAAAGAAAACATTATGATGATGCATTATTACCTAATAAGAAGCAAAAATCTTTAAAAGGAAAATAAATATCACTTTCTTTGATAGTTGCAATTTATAAGAGGAAAGTATTTCTTCAATTACTTTCTTATTTTCAATCAAGATCATCTTTTAGTCTCTTTAACTTCAATTTGAGCAGTTAATTGACCAT